TGATAAGGGAATGGAAATCCGAAGGTGAAATCAGAATTTGTAAGATTGGCACAGATGATAATGTAGTCGATCCTTTGACTAAACCGCTGCCTCAAGTGAAACACAACAAGCACATTGAGGCGATGGGAATCAAGCATGTTGGAGACTGGCTTTGAAATTCCCTGTACATGTGTTTTAATTAAATAGGATATTTAATGTAAGACACTGTATTAAAACCATTCATTAATGGAGTAGTTAATTTTGTGCAAAATTGTCATTCACTCCATTACTATTTAATTGTGGTTTAGAATTAAATAATGAGTCCATTCGATTTACGGAAATATTCAAAACAGGGTATCAAGACCATGTCTTGGATAAAGAAACACCTATTAAGTGAACATTGAATATTTAAATCCAAAATTATCCATAATCGAGGTCATCTAACAGATGGACGATTGATGACCGCCATAGATTAGTGTGTAGTATGATTTACAGCACCGTTTCTTGTGCTGCGAGGACGTGACGGTCATAAATCATTTGCACAGGCACAGTTTGGAACTGTACTGGATAAGACCTATGAGAGTACTTTAAGAAAATTTATATTTTGTCATAAGTACATTTCTCATTATGATTATCGGAACTTGTTTCCTCCGACCATAAGTACTGTGAAGTTTTCTTGTTTGAGTACTAGACTCTTTGATGTTTCCAAACGTCTGCCGTAACTGGGGATTATAACGGGAACACTCAGGAGACTATGTTCTCTTAGTAAGAAGAACTTACAATGCAAGACTGGGATTGTCCCCCTACTAACAATAGGGAAAAATGTTTTGTTTTTTACTAGGCCGCTCGAAGAGCGAGACTGTGAAAATGCATGGTCGTGCTCAGATGGATTTTAAAAAATCATCTGCTTATTGACAGTCGAACTCGGAGATCGAGAAACACTTCTGAACGTAATAAGGATGACAAAGAATCTTACCTTATAATTCACGAAGAAACATTAAGTGACATAGGAAATGGGATATACGCTATATGCACACTTGTCCGGAAGGACAAGTGGGAGATTGAAAGGAATGGTGTCCTTCCAACAAGTGTATTCTTCCGATAGAGGGTTCAGAATTATTACGGAGCTAATTCTTCAGTAAGGTCAAGTGATCAGAATGCCTAGGTGGAGGCCGCTTCCGATCAGTAATATCAATGTACAATTGATGTTACAGCTTAATCTTAACTGAACCCTTCGGGTCGAACCCAATCGAATCACCGATCCGAGACGACGAATTAATCCGAAAGGATTTAATGAGTCAGCATAGTTTTACGAATACAAACGTCGGATATTGAGCCTAGGGCGTCGAGACCGAGCGTCGCAAAATCACAAGCAACAAGTATGAGCGTAGCCGTAGCTAGGCTAGGCTAGCTCATCGCAAGCCTAGGCGCACCATTTGTGTGTTAGGCTCACCATGGTGTGCTAGGCACTATCGCAGCCCTAGCATCATGCCTAGGCGCTCTCGCAGCCCTAGCATGATGCTAGGAACCATCGCAGCCCTATCGCACCAAGCACAGCACCCATGTGTGTGTGCATAAGCGTGGGCACTATCACAGCCCCCTAGCACCACGCACAGCACCATCGCAATGCTAGGCACATGCGTGTGTGCGTGTGCGTGTGCACCATAGCACAGCAAGCTGGCAGGCAGCACTGGCCTTGCGTGTGTGCTAGGCACCATCGTAGGCCACGCACCAAGCACAGCTAGCTGGCAGACAGCACTGGCCTTGCGTGTGTGCTAGGCACCATTGCAGGCCACACACCAAGCACAGCGCTAGTGCGTGCTGGCCTGGATGCGCGTAGCTATGCGAGCATGGGCGAGTGATGCTAGCTGGCTGGGTGTGCGAGCATGTGCGAAGGGTGCAGCAATGATGCGTGTGGTGCGTGGGATGCGAGGAGCACGCACCAGCGCCTAGCACTGGCACGCACCAGCACCAGCACCAGCGCCAGCACGCACCAGCACCATGCATGCGAGGGAGCTGTTAGGCAGCCTGGTGCTAGCTGGCTGTGCGTGCTAGCAGTACCAGGTGGCAGCTAGCCCATCTGCCTTATGAGTGGCGGTTTAGGAGAGGTGGGGACCAAAGCCTCTAGGCTTCCCTTGGGGAGCAAGGCAATGGTCCCCCCATGGGATATGGTCCTCACCTAACCCATTCTCTCCTCTTGCCACTTGTTGCCTTGTGATTGCTTTTGCCTAATTATTTATTTTGGAATTAAATAAATTATTGCAATTGCACATGATCCCACATTGATCATGAAAAGGGGTTTCAAGTCCCCATTCTCTATAAATACCCACTTGGTTGGGATTTTGAGAATACAACCTTGAGTGGAATTAAAAAGGCAACTCTAAGAAAGAGTAAACCTTTGATTCGTAAAACTCATAGTTATTTTTTCCGGGTCTTGACTAACCTTCAAGACTTAGGACGCTCGGGTCGGGTCGAGGGTACGATCCGTCGGAGATCTCGTGTTTTCGGGATTTAGAAGTAAGAGCTCTTTGGGAGCGAAGCACGCGTCAAAGGTATAATTCTTGTTCTTAATCTTGTTTGATCAAGTTTAATATGCTTGTTAATTGTTTTAATTAAGGGGCGGGTCTTGGTGGGTTTTCTTCCGCGTAGTGTCGGGTCACTACGAAACCCTACAGTCCTCAGGGTTGGTGGTACCATCATAGGTACCTACCAAGACATTTTTAACCTAGGCCGGCTGTGCCGCCTCGGTTATCTCCTTGGAGAACGTAGAAGGTTGTTCCCCAAATTTTAGCAGATGGAGCTGCCAGTCCAAAGGTTGGACGTTATATATCGCCTGACCCCCGAAGAGAGCCGGCTGCATGTAAGGCTGGGGATACGACCTGTATGGTTGCTGGGGCGCATATTGAACCGAACCATCACATGAGGGCCTGTGTGGACGGACGGGCCGCCTGACAGGTTTCTCTTGTATAGATGAAGAATACCTCATCGTGGTATTCTAGAAGCTGTCTGGGAAACTCAACGTTGAAGCCGACTCAGACAATTGCTGATTTTTCTTTTGCTCTATGTAAAGGCGAGCATTAAGAAAATGTCTTCTTGGTGCCATCCAGCTGAACTTGCAGAATGGCCTTCTTCTTCCCAGTCTCGGGGAAGCGAAACTTAGACAGATCGATCAAGGGCCGAGTCCTCTCCTTTGTTTTAGGATGCAGAGTGGGCTCTCGGTCCCTGACAGACTAGTTCTTCTCAAAATGAGAAGGCTTCTTGGCCGACTAACCCTTGTTGGGACTAGCCGTCCTTTTGATGATCAGATCCTTGATCTCTCCCTTGAAACTCGCCATGAGTTTCCATGAGCTCATCCCAGGTAACGGGGGTAGTCTCCTCTGCCGCCTAGGGCTGAACAAATGGCTGGGCGGATGACTTGCCTGGACCCGATTGATCATTGCCCTGTTCCCTTATATCTTTGGAATGGACGCGTCTGGTTCTAAGTGGCCCATCTGCAGCCACATACGTTTCGACCTTAAAGTCATAATCAGTATCATGGTCCGATTAGACCTCAGCTTCGGCCATAGGCCGTTTCTGACTAGGAGGCGGTACATACTCTTGTGAAACCATCTTCGAGGTACTCTCCCAACAGATGGCGCCAAATGTTTTGGGGTTTTCTGTGTCCCTTGGGAGAGTTACGTCACCAAGACTGGATTCCGGTCGCCCATACCTGCAAAACCGCGGTAGCTCCGGTTGGTCGGAGTTCCGCCTCCGACGATCAAGTTAGTAAAGATTCGGAGTAAAAGAGTGGGGGAAAAGTAAATATCTTCTCGGATTCCGAGATCAGGTGTTTTATTTGTTTTCGAGAATAATAAATGATGTAATGATTGAACGTGCCTCAAAAATAGGGGGAATCTCCCTATTTATAGGGTCCTTGAGATTTCTGCCCCTGTCCTAGTTTACGAAAACCTAGGACTAATGGGCTGCGCTGTTTTACGGCAGTCTAGGGAATTGGGCCTTGAAGGCCGCCAATCCCATATGGGGTACGTGTCTAGCCCTGGTAGGTCCACTTTGGGCTCTCCCTAGGGTGACACGTGTCACACTCTAGTTGGTCCACGAGGCAGGGTAAAAATACCCAAATCAAGTAAATACCCAAATCAAATACCTTAAAAAGAGGACATTCTTTTTTTGTATATCACTATATATGTGAGTATATGACTATCATCTATGTATCAATCTATCAGTCTATCACTAGTTCATTACTAATCGCCTCACTTATGTACGTAGGTATAATAAGTCATCGATAATTATTCAATTTAAATTTGGCTCCAAGATAAATATTACACAAGAATTGATTGAATGAGAAAACTAATTCTTCGCATTTTATAATAATTAACCACGCAATATGAGAAATGACACATAAATGACTTGATATTGACCCAATAATAAGTAAAAATTCAATAATTACTCTAGTCTAAAAATGACCTTATTTGGATATTGAATTTGGTCAACTTGACCAAAATCTAGACAAACGCATAAAGGATTTGAATCGGAATTGACCAAATACTGAACCAACCTTATCTTAATCAAATCGAACGTGACCGAATCGAAATAATTCGAACCAAAATCAACCCGACCCAAATTCATCCGACCCGAAATTAACCCGGTCAAACCCATTTTGGACCCGATTCGAATTTATCGGAACCGAACATGAACCGATCTGGAGTTGACCCGACCCATATCCGACCCGGACTCTACAGACCTTGACCCGACCCAACCCAAACCGAGTTAAAAGAATATTTTTGAACCGAACATATCCGACTCGAACAGACCCGACCCGAATAGATCCGATCGAAACTCTATCCGATTATCCGAATTGACACCTCTTACATCAGTAACGTTTTATTTTAGTAATAATTAATAGATTTGCCAAATATAGAGCTGTGACGTTTGCCGTGACACATGGGACACATATAAGATTATCCTAGAAACAGCATAGACGCAATTCTAGAAGGTTCTCTTTTCTTACCCGAATAAGTCAACCCTAGTTCCCGAACTCTTTATAAAGGATCGATTCCTTCATTCATTCAATCATCGCAACGAATACAATTCAATTAAATCCAATATTTCTTCTCTTTGATCACAAAAACAATTTTCTTCTTCCAAAGTTCCTTTATCATCAAAGGTAAAATTCTTAATTCCTCTTCTCAATCGTTCTATGTCGTGGTTTTTGCTTTAATTTGATGAATTATAACAATTATCGATTGTTTTGATTCATGATTTGATGATTGTTTTGATTCGTGATTTGATGATTTTATCATTGGCTTTCGTATTATTATGCGTTGTTTATCTCTTTCTTTAATTGTAATTGAAGCAATTCATTTATTTGATTGAATTTTGAATCCTGAATTGTTGGTTTTGTCGACCTAAAATCTTTTGTTGAGTAATCTTGGCTCTAATTGATTAAAAATTATGACAACTGATTCTATTTCATGAATAGATCTCAATATATAGCCGCTAATTTGAGGTGCTTTTTGTAGATTAATAATTTTCTGGCTTTGAATTGCAGTTTGTTAATTCTGGCTTTGAATTGCTGTTTGCTAGTTCTAATTGTTTTATTTATTCATTGAATTACTTAATTTTCGACACCTTCTTTTTTAGGGTTCTGTTATTCGTATTGAGTTCGTGTTATAATGGTCGATTGTTATTATTCAATTAGGTAATTAAATTGCTGTTTGGTATTTTAGGGGTTTTTTTTTTTCTTTTTGTTTTAATCTGTAATTTATGGCTGTTGCACCCGGTATTGACCATATACTGGATTATGACTTGTGTCGGTGATTATCTTGTGTTGATGAATATAATCTGTTGTGTCGCCTGAATTTTCTTGATTAAGGTTTTTATATTGCAAACTTTGTTGGTTTTATATATGTCGCTTTGATTGGGATAATTAGATAATTGTGTGCTGTATCAATATGATCAGTCCAATATAATCTGTTTTTTACATTTATTGTTTTGCTTATGATACGTCTGCAGATGCAAATCTTCGTTAAGACTCTTACCGGAAAAACCATAACTCTCGAGGTTGAGAGTTCTGACACCATCGACAATGTTAAGACGAAGATTCAAGATAAGGAGGGAATTCCCCCAGACCAGCAGCGTCTGATCTTTGCTGGAAAGCAGCTGGAGGATGGCCGAACGCTCGCTGACTACAATATCCAGAAGGAGTCGACCCTCCACCTTGTTCTCCGTCTTAGAGGAGGGATGCAGATTTTTGTTAAGACCCTCACTGGGAAGACTATCACCCTTGAGGTCGAGAATTCTGACACCATTGACAATGTCAAAACCAAAATTCAAGACAAGGAAGGTATTCCCCCAGACCAGCAGAGGTTGATCTTTGCTGGAAAGCAACTTGAAGATGGCCGCACTCTTGCTGATTACAACATCCAGAAGGAGTCGACCCTCCACCTTGTTCTTCGTCTAAGAGGTGGCATGCAGATCTTTGTTAAGACCCTCACTGGGAAGACTATCACCCTTGAGGTTGAAAGCTCTGATACGATTGACAATGTTAAAACCAAAATCCAAGACAAGGAAGGTATTCCCCCAGACCAGCAGAGGTTAATCTTTGCCGGAAAACAGCTTGAGGATGGCCGCACTCTTGCTGATTACAACATCCAGAAAGAGTCGACCCTCCACCTGGTTCTCCGTCTTAGAGGTGGCATGCAGATCTTTGTTAAGACCCTCACTGGGAAGACCATCACCCTTGAGGTTGAAAGCTCTGATACGATTGACAATGTTAAAACCAAAATCCAAGACAAGGAAGGTATTCCCCCAGACCAGCAGAGGTTGATCTTTGCCGGAAAACAGCTTGAGGATGGCCGCACTCTTGCTGATTACAACATCCAGAAAGAGTCGACCCTCCACCTGGTTCTCCGTCTTAGAGGTGGCATGCAGATTTTTGTTAAGACCCTCACTGGGAAGACCATCACCCTTGAGGTTGAAAGCTCCGACACCATTGACAATGTCAAAACCAAAATTCAAGACAAGGAAGGCATTCCCCCAGACCAGCAGAGATTGATCTTTGCTGGAAAGCAACTTGAAGATGGCCGCACTCTTGCTGATTACAACATCCAGAAGGAGTCGACCCTCCACCTTGTTCTTCGTCTAAGAGGTGGCATGCAGATCTTTGTTAAGACCCTCACTGGGAAGACTATCACCCTTGAGGTTGAAAGCTCTGATACGATTGACAATGTTAAAACCAAAATCCAAGACAAGGAAGGTATTCCCCCAGACCAGCAGAGGTTGATCTTTGCCGGAAAACAGCTTGAGGATGGCCGCACTCTTGCTGATTACAACATCCAGAAAGAGTCGACCCTCCACCTGGTTCTCCGTCTTAGAGGTGGCATGCAGATTTTTGTGAAGACCCTCACTGGGAAGACTATCACCCTTGAGGTTGAAAGCTCTGACACCATTGACAATGTCAAAACCAAAATTCAAGACAAGGAAGGCATTCCCCCAGACCAACAGAGACTGATCTTTGCTGGAAAGCAGCTTGAGGATGGGCGTACCCTTGCTGATTACAACATTCAGAAGGAGTCAACCCTCCATCTTGTGCTCCGTTTAAGAGGTGGAATGCAAATTTTCGTCAAGACTTTGACTGGGAAAACTATCACTTTGGAGGTTGAGAGCTCAGACACCATCGACAATGTCAAGGCTAAGATTCAGGATAAGGAGGGCATTCCCCCAGATCAGCAAAGATTGATCTTTGCAGGGAAGCAGCTCGAGGATGGGAGGACCCTTGCAGACTACAACATCCAAAAGGAGTCTACACTTCACTTGGTGCTTCGTTTAAGAGGAGGAATGCAAATATTTGTTAAGACCTTGACTGGGAAAACCATCACCTTGGAGGTCGAGAGCTCAGACACTATCGATAATGTCAAGACTAAGATACAGGACAAGGAAGGAATTCCTCCTGACCAGCAGAGGTTGATTTTTGCTGGTAAGCAGTTGGAGGACGGGCGCACTTTGGCAGACTACAACATTCAGAAGGAATCCACCCTTCACCTTGTCCTTCGTCTCCGTGGTGGCTTTTAATGATGTCTGGTTGAGATTGCTGTGGTTTTAAGGCTTTTGTTGGCCATTGTTTTTACTTTGTTTAGTACTCCGTAGCAGAGGTTATTTGGCCATTGTTTTTACTTTGTTGGACATTGTTTTTACTTTGTTTAGTACTCCGTAGCAGAGGTTTTAAGCTTTTGTTGGACATTGTTTAAGGCAAAGGCAAAGTTGCCCTAAGTTCAGTTTGTTAATAAAGTACACTTTTTCTTTTTCGTGATTGAATATATTAATTGGTCTTGATGTTCTTAATCCTTAAAATATGTATTGAAAAAGATTACTTTGTGCTTAACTCCCAAATAACTAGATGTCTTTAGTAGCCTACCTAGTCTTCAAACTTTGGATATGGGTGATAATATGTTCCATGGACGCCTCTTTAAAAAGTCTCTTAGGAGGTGATCTTTGATTTCCACGTACTACCTTTCTGGCATCAAACTTTGGATATGGCCCATATGGGTGATAATGTGGTCGATGGACGCCTCTTTAAAAAGTCTCTTAGGAGGTGATCTTTGATTTCCACGTACTATCTTTCTGGCATCATTCCTGAATATTTTTCTACCTTTCCCATGATATATACCTCGTAGACTTATCTTACAATGATTTTGAGGGAAATGTTCCAACAAAAGGGTTTTTGCGAATGCAAGTGCAATAATTTTGGATGGCAATAGTAGGCTTTGTGGTGGAATTTGGGAGCTGCGTCTACCAAGTTGTGTGGAGAAAAAAGGGAAGCTTCTCATGCTCTAAGTTAACATTTATGATAATATGTGCTTTTTTTGGGGTATCGGTCATGGCCACATGCATATGGCTCTACTTGAAACATCGTAGCAAGAAAGGGAACTCTACCTCGTTGGGCGCAGTACAGAAGGAGTCATTCTTGTAAGTGTCCTACGACATGCTACTCAAAGCAACTGATGGATTTTCTTCAAGGAATCTACTTGGCTCGGGTACTTTGGGTCTGTGTTTAAAGGGATGCTCGCTGTAAAGGCGGTTGCCATTAAAGTTTTCAATTTGCAACAAAGATCTAAGAGTTTCATGGCAGAGTGTGAGGCATTGAGGAATATTCGTCATCGTAATTTGGTTGGGATATTGACAACTTGCTCAAGTATGGATTTCCATAGAAACGATTTCAAAGCTCTTGTGTATGAGTTCATGCCAAATGAAAGTGTTGAGAGATGGCAACACAAAGATGGAAATCTGAGCCTTCTCCAAAAGTTGGATATAGCCATTGAAGCCCATGCAATAAATTATCTCCAATGTGAGTGTGACAGCCCAATTATGCACTGCGATCTAAAACCGAGCAACATATTGCTTGACGATGACATGGTTGCTCGTGTAGCAGATTTTGGGTTAGCAAAGGTTCTTGATCCGCCCATGCATCCAAATCAAAGCAGTTCAATTGACGTCAGGGGAACTGTTGGCTATGCTGCTCCAGGTATATATCACAAGTAAGGTTTTTTAAGGGCAATCATATATTAAATGACATCTAAAATTAATATTAGCATATGATTTATAATAATGCTGGTTTTTAACTTTCTACAATTAGTAATTTACATCCAAAATATATGTACAAATTTACTACATAATTACTACTATAGATGTAGTTTAGGGGACACTTCAAAAACAAAAATTAAAGAATTGACAAGGTGCCATAGGATTTGGTCCATTTGGAGATATAAATCATGTCATATTATGAGCAAGCATATATAGCCAATATATAGGTAGGAAAAATAAAATTCTTTTTGCATTCTTGGTGTAAGCTTTGTCTTTAAGAGTATGGCTTGGGAAATGAAGCATCTCTTCAAGCTGATTTCTACAGTTATGGAATCCTACTGCTTGAGCTAGTGACAAGAAAGAGACCCACCGATGATATGTTCAAGGAAGAATTCAACCTCCATATGTATGCAAAGACCAGAGGCGGAGGTACAAATATTAACAATAAAAATGGCCCTGTGCAATTTTTGTAAAATTAGGCCCTAAAATCATTTTTTGAAGGATATAAAAACTCCGTTTGATTTTTAGTGGACTAGTCCTTCGATCACAATCCCCACGACCGGTGGTGCTGATTCTGGTCCGGTGTTGACTCCACGGTCTGCTGAGTTTTATGATGCGATGGGCGTTCCTCAGGATCTGCGTCCTCCGGCACCGTAGCTGTTTCTGCATTTCTTTTTTGATTATCTAGGACTTTGCTTATGTTTTGTACATTTTATTGACTCCTATTAGACTCACGTATATACTAGACTTTATTTACGTATTCTTTTAGTCTTTTTTCATTTTTACATTATTTATGTGCATGTGTGTGTGATTTGTGACAAACTTTTGCGCAAAATTCCGTCATTTTTATCATCGTTGGAGGGTATCCCACTTTCTCCCCTAAAAAGAAAAATGAAAAAAGAAATTGAGGCAAAAAAAGATTTAAAATTAATTAACTTGAGATTCTTTAAAAAGAAATTCCCAAATCAATTAGGATTAGATCAAAGAGTTGGATTATGGTAGGAAAAAGGTGAAATAATTGAATAAGGTGGGAAAAGGTGAAAAGAGTTGGACAAAAAATCCGGAAAAATCAAAGTACAAATCCGAGTCAAAATCAATTCAATGGAAAAAATAAGACGCGCTTTTTATATCGCAGGCGCCAGATTCAATCGCGGCGCGATGGGTTTGACGCGGCGCGATGGATCTGGGAAATTCCAGTCCGAATAGAACTCGATTTCTTCTCTAATTTTGCTTATAAAAAGCCTCCAAATAGTCCATATTCAACATAATTCGAGTCATTAGCTTTCTAAGTTCTTCTAGTTTTTCATCAATTAGTAGTCATATCTAGGAGTTTTTGTGAAACAACCCGTGAGTGGTGTTAGTCTTTGACAGCTAAGAAGAGGTAAGAGCTTGACTTCCTCAATATGGGTGGTTTATTGGGCATCAAGGGAGTAAATCTTGATAATGATTTTATTCATGCTGCCATAGAATATTGGGACCCCAACACTCACTGTTTTAGGCTAGGAAATAATGAAATTAGCCCTCTGCCGGAAGAATTTGGTGCTATTTTTGGTTTTCCCTCTTTAAACCTTGCAGTAATTCCCACGGTGTGTGAATATTACTACAAAGATTTTGAGCGTTATTATAATCTTATGGAAACTGATTTAAAATCTATAGTTCATGGAAACGAAGTTGATCTAAGAAAATTTGCATCCTTTTTCTTTAATAGACCTAAGTCTGATTCGTTTCACATATAGAGAAGAAGAGCTTTTCTTTATTTCATGTTTAGCCAATTTCTACTTACTAGCGGTAGTATCCATATGGGTCAAGCTTTATTAGCGTCTATTATGGAACAAATTGATGCTCGGAGAAATCCAATGCCTTAAATTGTTGGAGAAACAATGCTAAGCTTGGATGAATTGAAAAAGGATCCCAAAGCACCACTTCGAGGATCACCAATATTATTACAGGAAGAAAATTAATACTTTTAATTACAGAAATCAAAATATTTAATTTTGTAAAGTAATAACAATTTATTTCTTTTCTTGCAGATTTGCTTAATGGATTGATCAGTCCTCCTGACAATATCGAGAAGTACACTCCAAATTGCCTTGTAAGAAGGAAGAAGTGGTTCTCCTTAAAGATGGGACGCCGGGAGTGGAGTAAAATCTTTGAAACTCGCGACTTCTCAATCAAATAGGTCATTCCTTGGTGGAAGACCGAAAAGATGGTTGGAGGCAATACTCAACCTTCCTGTCGTATTCCAAGCTTTTCAAAGTTGACCTTTTACTATCCTTCTAGGGTGGTGAGGCAATATGGTCTTGCTCAAACCATTCCTTCTGGAGATCATCGTCGACCTTATGAGTACCCTGTATCAAAGAATGTTGAAAGGTTTGATGATTTTTGGTGTGCTAGACCCTTATGGAATGTTGTCTTTATTAGAGTTCCTCCTCCATTGTCTAGGGAATTTAAACAATGGTTACTCGGTCAAAATCAAAAGGATAAGAACAAGGTTCGAAACACAAGTTCCAACGGTGTGGAGAAGACAAATGTAAGGGATCGTTTAGGTGACAAGAAGATTCCTCCTAAAGATCATTTGGGTGCAAAAGTTGAATTCAAGACCTCTATCATGCCTAAGATGAAAAGTATCGCAGAGGATAAATGGACAAGGAAGGCTACTCCTATAGAAAAGGAAAATAAGGCTTGGGTTAAAAAGAAAGTTGGTGTTTTTGCTAATGAGGAAATTGTTTCTTTTAAGGTTTCAATTAGATCATCTAAAGGTTCCCTATTGGTAAAGGAGCTGGAAGAAGAAGAAGAAGACTCAAACAAGAATTGGAAGAGAGCTAGGAAAGAGAAGCCAGATTAGAGCATCGCCTTGCTTTTAATTTTATTAGACAATTTTTAATTTCTAGTTAATTTTATTTTCAAGCTTTTAATTCATCAGTAATGTAATTTCAATTTTAATTCAATTTTTAATGCAAATTTAGCTTTCAATTAAATTAACTTTGTTTTTTTAATATTCCTTTTATTAGTAATGAAAACAACATGAGTAATTTCGAAAATAATATGAGTACGGAAGTCAGAAGATCTTCAAAATAATTCAATCAATCGGAAACCATTTTATCGCGGCACGATACGATACTCCTATCGCGGCACGATGCTTTTCATCGCGACGCGTTGAATTCTATTTGTTGCGATTTTTTTATTTGCGATTCTAAGCTGATGTACTGCGTGAAGAGGCAGGGTTTTGAGAAGTTAAAGCGGTCGTACCCTTGTAAAAGGGTTGCCTACGTATCCTTGTTAAGGAATCAGGCCAAACGTAGCTCTCTTGAGTATGGAACTTAAATAATTCATGGGTAGAACTTCTTGAGTTGGTCAAGATTTATCATGTTCGAAAATTCGTTACCATCCATATCTGCTAACTTAGCTATGCCTCCAGACAGGATAGTTTTAACAATGTATGGTCTAGAATAATTAGGCCTAAACTTGCCTCTTGGGTCTAGAACATTCTTTCTAAGTGCTTTTAACACCAAGTCTCCTTCCATGATGTTTCTCGTCTTGACCTTTTTGTTAAAGTGTCTAGCCATGCAAGTTTGGTAACATTGGGCATGATGTAAGGCTTCTATTCGTTTTTCATCGAGTAGAATTAGCTCTTCATATCGTGCCCTTGTCCATTCGACCTTGTCGAGTTTACTTTCCAATGCTATGCGCAAGGAGGGTATTTCTAGCTCTAAAGTTTGTTCGACATCCATTTCATAAACTAGGGAGAACGGCGTAGTTCCTGGGGAAGAACGGATTGACGTGCGATAACCCCACAAAGCAAAGTGGAGTTTTTCAGGCCAATCCTTGTAGGTTTTTGTCATCTTTTCGATAATTATCTTTAAATTAAATTGGCTACTTCCACTACACCATTTGCTTGAGGTCTATATGAAGAGGAGTGGTGATATTGTATTCCATACTTTTTAAATAGGTCTTCACACTCCGCTTGAAAGTGAGTACCATTTTCACTTATCATTTTATGTGGGACTCCGTATCTACATATGATGTTCCTTTCAATAAAGAGCGCCACATGTTTTGCGGTGAGTTTCGCAAAGGAGGTTGCTTCAACCCATTTGGTGAAGTAATCAATGGCAACGAGAATGTATTCATGACCTCCTGTTCCAAGGGGAATAATCTTTCCAATATGTCTATTCCCCAAGTTGAGAATGGTCATGGAGATGCATAAGTGTAAAGGAGAGATGGTGGAACATGTTGCAGATTGGCATATATCTGGCATTTTGCACATCTCTTCACATATTGATGACAATCCCTATTCATGGTAGTCCAATAATATCCTTAGCACATGATTTTCTGGACTAGCATTTTACCATTCATGTGTGTTCCGCATGCTCCTTTGTGGATGATCCTCATTGCTCTTTGAGCTTCATTTTTTCCAACACATAGGAGAGCTCTACCTTTGGGTACTCTCTTATGATGTTCATCTTTTATAAGCACATAGTGTGAAGCTAAGAGTCTTAGGGCGCGCTTCGCTCTTTTGTCAGCGTTAGGTGGATATTCCCCTTTGGTGACATAATTGAGGATGTTTGTATACCATGGTTCTTTTTCTTCTTCTTCTTGGGTTACTTCTTCATTCTCAATAGCTTGAATATAAGCAAGTTTATGCCTTTTCTCTATGGTTAAAGGCATTTGCTCAATTTCCTTAGGAATTCTAACCATCGAGGCTAGTCTTGCCAAGGCATCGGCAAATTGGTTTTCTTCTATTAATAGATATGTGTATTCCACCTTTTTATGTTGATCAATGAGGGTTTCCAAATAGGTTTGGTAAGGAGATAGACTTTCGCTCCTCACTTTCCATCTCTTGGAAATTTGGTTGATGATAAGAGATGAATCTCCGAATATTCGAAGCTTCTTGACTCCCAATGCCAAGGTTGTTTCGAGGCCTACCACTCATGCTTCATATTCCGCAGCATTGTTGGTAACATCAAAGTCAAGCTTTATTGAGATTAGGACATGTTCTTCTTTAGGTGATACTAATAAGACTCCTACACCACACCCTTTCTGGTTGGATGGACCGTCAAAGTATAATGTCCAAGTATCATCCTCAGTGACCATCAACTCTTCATCTTGAAAGTCATTCTCTTGCATTGGTGTTGAATCCTCAATTGGAAACTCTGCCAGGAAATCAAAGACCGCGGATCCTTTGATAGCCTTTTGGGGCATGAATCTTAGGTCAAATTCAGCTAAGCTCACTATCCATCTAGATATTCTTCCATTAACTGTGGATTTCTCAAAGAGATACTTAAGGGGATCCATTCGAGATACCACATAGACTATATGGACGAGCATGTAATGTCTTAACTTGGTTGTAGCCCAAACGAGTGCGAGGCACAACTTTTCAAGTGGTGTGTAGCGTAATTCATATTCAAGCATCTTCTTACTTAGATAGTCAATGGTATTTTCCTTTCCTTCTACTTCTTGTGCGAGCATAGCCCCTATTGTTTCTTTGATGGCTGTTAAGTATAGACGTAGAGGAATGCCCAATAATGCTGGCGCTAATACAAGAGGATTTGCAAGATAGGCTTTGATCTTATCAAAGGCTTCTTGGCACTCAACGTCCCATACTACTGGTACATTCTTCTTGAGTTTCTTGAAAATTGGTTCACATATCATGGTAATGAGCTTAGATATGAATCTACTTATGTATTGCAACCTACCAATAAATCCCCGAATTTTCTTCTCGGTCTTGGGCGGTGGCATGGACATGATCGCCTTGATCATAGTGGGATCTATCTCAATTCCTCTAGAGCTAATTACATAGCCTAGAAGCTTTCCTGAGGTAAACCCAAATGCGCACTTGGCGGGATTTAGCCTCATGTTGTATTTTCGAAGCCTTTCGAAGAATTTTCTTAAGGCTACTTGATGTCCAGGGCGATCCTTTGATTTCACAATCATATCTTCCACATATACCTCGACTTCTTTATGCATCATGTCATGGAGTAAAGCAGTCGCTGCTCTTCGGTACGTGGCACCCGCGTTCTTTAACCCGAATAGCATTACCGTGTACCAGTAAGTGCCCCATGGTGTTATGAAGGTTGTTTTCTCCATTTCTTCTTCCGCCATGAGAATTTGGTTTTAACCGCGCATACCCATCCATAAATAAGAGAAGTGCGTGATTGACTATATTATCTACTAGAATGTCGATGTGTGGTAAAGGAAAGTCGTCCTTTGGACTTGCCTTGTTGAGATCCTTGTAGTCGACGACACACATTCTTACTCTACCATCCTTCTTGGGAACTGGTACCACGTTGGCGACCCATTCTGGATACTTGGATACCTTGATAAAACTTGCAGTTATTTGTTTTTGAACTTCTTCTTTTATTTTAAGTGCTACGTCGGGTTTCATTCGACGTAACTTTTGTTTTACAGGTTTCATTCCCGGAATTAGTGGTATAGTGTGTTGAGCGATTTCTCGGTTTATTCCTGGCATATCTTCATATGACCAAGCAAAGACATCGATATATTCTGTAAGTAGATTTATTAATTGAGTTCTTTCTACTTGATTTAGAGTTAAGCCAATTTTAACTTCTCTTTTAATGGTAGGATCTTTTGAGATGTTAACTGTTTCAGTTTCTTTAATTATTGTCCTTGTATTCTCAAGTGCTTCCATTGCTTTAATTATTTCTTTGTCATTTTCATTATTAGAAAAGCAATGCTCGTCATCTTGGGTAAGGGAATAACACGAGGAGTAACAGGAAGAAGACATATTATTAAATTCTTAATTTTTTACATCAAAAAGAGAAAGGTCCGCTGGGACTTGGCTATTAATTATTCTAAGGGTAGGTACTAAACTAGGTGAGTTAATAGGGGGTGCAACTACAAGAGACTTGGAAGACTCAACGATAGAAGACTCGATTAAGACTCAGACTCAGACTTAGCCGACTCGGACTCATCAAACATAGGTCCTTCTCTCGTGGTTATGGATATCTTCCTTCCACTTGGTGTAGTCACCTTCACGGTCTTGCGCCATCCCTTAAGTAGTCCTTCCGCTAGAGTGATAATTTTAGAAGGGTCAAAGTTTTCACTTTGTAGCACGGTTTGAATAAGCACAGAGTTGTCGTCGACACGCTTAGGCTCATTCTTATCATACCCAAAGAGGAGACCCATGAAGTTAAAGTCAAAGCATGGAGATGCTCGTTCCTT